ACCAGTAATCCCAGAATATCATGGCCAGGCCACAACATTAATTCCTAGCTACTTGTACCCAAACGATGCCACTAACCCCAAACCTAGATTAACAGACATGACATAATAAATGTATCTAAACAACTTTTTAATCTATTATTATATTTGGCAACTTGGAAACACAGGTGTCACTTTTCCCATAAAACTACGAGAGCTACAGAGTTGAAAGTTGGCAAGTTCCTGAAAAAAATAAAGTGTAATAGATAGATAGGTTCCATGACGGAGAACGATTTTGGATTTATTAATTTCCTGAATTTCGAAAGACATATTGAAAAAAAGTTCTCGTCCTTCTTTGGCCTTTGTGATTATTCCTCTGAGAAATGAAGCAAATCTGCGTAGCTGTCCTTCACAGCGGAAGTGCCGGAAGTGATATTTCGCTAGGCACATTTTGTTTCGAGAGTATAGATCTAGACCTTCTAATTTTTTGCATCTCTCAAGACTTTTTGCTCCATTCCAGTAGAGTGTAAATGTATTAGGCCAATGATTTTCAGTTGATAATAATGCACCGATCATTCCTTTCATCGAAATGGGGCCCAGCTAATTATGTGATAAATTTCTGCATGTGGTTTGAGAGATACATATGGTGTGACATGCTGTATTGTTGCCACCTTTAGTTTCCTCTTCATGTTGAAAAACTTTCTTCATAAATGTATATAAAATACTTGAAATCTCTGTCACGTGTAAAAATGGTATTGTTCACAGCACTTCCCGCTTCTCACTTTACACACATTTTGATTACGCATATATGGCCTACGTCACAGCTCACCAATGACAATATTTACTTGCAAAACCTGTTACAAGAAATTATAGTTATAGTGAACACTTTTTTGCACTAATGGCTCTCAAAACATAATAAGCATAATGTCCCGATTAGAAAAACCTGACGGACCTGCTATTAAAAGCTATATTGCCCCAGCTGTAAACATTTTACAATCTGAAGAAACCATTTACTTGGATTTTTTATTAGTATTTATTAAGGAATTTTCTATAACTTTAAG